ATCACTAATGCTGACCATGTGGTTCTGTGTTTGAATCAAGACTAGCGTTTCTAGATATGTACGCAACGATCCGTCATTCTTTCTTTTTTGGTCAGTTTGTCTAATATAAAGGATAATAATATGATTTATTCGATATTTTTCTAAAAAAAGCACCAATGATTAAAGGAGCACTCAATTAATAAACGTCCTTGTGTCATAGTACAGCTTAACCGTACCCGGGCAACAATCTGGGGCAACGTTAGAAATTATACCATCAGGTGCATTAAATTGACCACCTATTCCTAGGCCCACCCTACACGTGTCCCCCGGGTGGTGCTAAATGAGCGACAAGCCGATAGCACAGACTCGGCTCCACGCCCTGGTAGAGGCGTAAAATATACCACCCTTTGTCCGCACCATGAGGAACAAAATAATAGAAATGGCCCCGAGTTCCCGGCGCCCCTTTAATGGGGCAGGGGTGCGAAGAATCTCCGGGAGGAAAACCGGCGACGAGGTTCGCCACCCGTCACGTTCTGTCTCCCGGAGAGGCGAAAAGTGGATTGCAGAGGTCCGTCTGGCTACGTTGAATGTATGTGGGGCAATGAATGATAAAATGGATGAAGTATGCGATATGATGAATGATAGAGGAATAGATGTGTTATGTGTAAATGAGACGAAAAGGAAGGGAAAGGATGTCACTACACATGGCATGTATACCGCATACTGGTCTGGTGTAGACGAGATCGAGCGGGCATGCCAGGGAGTAGGTATCATCCTTTCAGAAAGAATGGGCCAATGTGTGAAAGAGTATGAATGTGTAAGCCCAAGACTGCTGTGGATACGAATGAAAGTGGGCTTAAAGAAGTTGTTTGTGTTAGGGGTCTACGCCCCAGACATGTCTAAGCCCACTTATATCCGAGAGCAGTTTTGGGAAATGGTAAGGATGGTGTTAATGGAGTGTAAGGGAAATGAAAATATTATTATGCTAGGAGATTTTAATGGAAGGGTTGGGGTGAGGAGGCTTGGTTATGAAAGGATATTGGGAACGTTTGGTGATGAAAGTATAAATGAGAATGGTGAAAGTCTCCTCACCGTATGTATGGAAAAGAATCTTTTTGTGACGAACACTTGCTTTCGCCACAAGAGGATTCACATGTATACTTGGGAAAGAGGTGACGATAGAAGCATGATAGATTTAATAATTGTGGATGAAAGATTGAGGGGCGCAGTTGTAGATACAAGGGTTTACCGGGGTTCTAACGTAGGAACGGATCATTATTTGGTTCTATGCCGAATTAATGGTCTATTCAGGCGTTGGCGCCATCGGTCATCTGTGTCTACCACTGCGTTACAGCGTATTAGAACAGAAAGGTTACAAGATGAAGGTGAGAAAAAAGAAGTTCAAATGTAGACTGAAAGAAAATATAAGTGGTTTGGATGAATTATGTATGAAGGAGTTAGACTTGGAGAATGTATGGCAAAATGTAAAGAAAGGTTTAGTGGATGCAGCTACCGAAGTATGTGGTGTTAGTAAGAGAAAGAATGAAAGGAAAAATAATACGTTATGGTGGGATGATGAGGTACGTATGGAAGTTGAAGCAAAGAAGAGAGCATGGCTAGATTTACTAGCAACAAAGGCTGGTAATTCTAGCGGTACGAATGATGATATTGAAAGAAAAAAGGCAGTCTTTAGACATCTTAATAAGAGAGTAAAAGAAGTAGTTGAAAGAAAAAAGCAAGAAAGAACGGATAAGAATGATAGAAGAATATCGGATAATTTCCAGGCAAATATTAAAATGTTCTGGAAACTTGTAAGAACTGCCAGGGGACATTCAAAACAGCCTATGATGAATGCTATAAGAGACGAGAATGGCTATATTCTGAATGATGAAGTTTTGAGTTTAAAGAGATGGAAGGAATATTTTGAAAGCGTGTTTATGAGTGAGGAGACAACGTGTGTACTAAGTGAAGTAGAAATTCCGAAAGAAGAGGAAAGAGGTAGCGAGATTAGTGTAGGTGAAATAATGAAAGCAATGAAAAGCATGAAAGCAGGTAAGGCTGCCGGATATGATAGAGTTTCACTCGAAATGCTAAGGGCTGGAGAGGAAGTGGTGGCAGGCCTGCTGCACACCTTGTTTAATTTATGCTGGGAACTGAAGCGGGTACCGGTAGACTGGTGCAAAGCCGTGATAGTCCCAGTATATAAGGGAAAAGGGTCGCAGCAGGACTGTAAAAACTACCGTGGCATCAGCCTTCTTAGCATTGTGGGAAAACTGTATGCTAAGGTACTGATTGAAAGGGTCATGAAAGAAACTGATGGAAAAATTTGGGATGTGCAAGCAGGATTTAGAAAGGGAATGGGATGTACAGATCAAGTCTTTTCCATGCGCATGATCGCGGAGAAGTTTTTGGCCAAAAACCAAAAGGTTTTTTGTGCGTTCATGGACTTGGAAAAGGCCTATGACAGAGTGAATAGGGATGTGCTATGGCAAACACTGAATTCATTTGGGTTGAGCGCTGGCTTGATACGGGCATTGGAGTCCCTTTATAGGGACTCTAGTGCTTGTGTTAGGATCAACGGGGTCTACTCGGACTGGTTTGACATCCATAAAGGTGTCAGACAGGGCTGTGTAGCTTCCCCGTGGCTATTCAACCTATTTATGGACAGTTGTTTGCAAAATTTGAAAGTTGAAGAATGCGGATTAAGAATGGGTGAGTTAACCGTCAAATGCCTTTTGTACGCCGATGATCAAGTTATACTTGCGTCGTCGGCGGCCGAGTTGCAAATGATGGTTACATTAATGAACAGATCATTAAAAGAAAGGGGTATGAAAGTGAACGCAAGTAAGACGAAGGTTATGGTTTTTGAAAGAGAAGAAAGTAAAACGATTTGTGAAATAAGAATAGAAGGGGAGTTGATCGAGCAAGTAGATGAGTTTGTATATTTGGGCTGCGTATTTAGCAGGGATGGGAGATATGATAAGGATATAGAACGACGAGTGAATGCGGGAAATAGAGTAAATGGGGCCCTGCACTCTATTGTGAAGAGTCAAAATGTGTCGAAAAAGGCACGTATGGCAATTCACAATGCTGTGTTGGTCCCTACTTTAACATATGGTAGTGAAAGTTGGGTGTGGCAGAAGAAGCACGAGAGTAGAATGAACGCAGTAGAAATGCGGTCGTTAAGGAGTATGTTAGGGCTGAATCTTAATGACAGGGTAAGAAATTGTGTAATAAGAGAAGAGTGTGGTTTGCAAGATGATGTTGTGACCAGGATTAAGAAAGGAATGCTTCGGTGGTTTGGTCATGTGGAAAGAATGAATGAGGAAAGAGTGACAAAGAAAATTTATGTTGCAGAAGTGAATGTCAGAGTCGGAAAGGGACGTCCTAGGCGAAAATTTATCGACCAAATTGGCGATTTATTGAAAACGGGCCAAATTAGGAGTACCCTTAACCGACGAGCATGTATGCGGAGGTGTATGGATGTGAAGGAGGCGAGAGAGGTGTGTCAGGATCGTGCCAAATGGAAGTCTGTAGTCTCTGCCTACCCCTCTGGGTGACAGGCGTGAGTGTTTATGTTATGTTATGTGTTATGCATTAAATTACTAAGCACGTGGGATTATGGTCAAGCAGTGAGTTTTAAAGTAAATTAGGGAGGGGGGAGGGCAATTTTCTCTTCTCTTTGGACGCCCGGATGGCTAGCCGGCTCTGATTTTTTTTTTTAATATAGGATAGGGTGACAAACGAGCACACAGTCCACCTGATGGTAAGTGGTTGCTGTGGCCCATAGACATCCACATGTATCCTCGACTACGAAACAAAATGCAGATGCGTTGTCACCCGTGAGGACTAAGATGGAATGTCTCGTCTCCAGTAAAAAGGGTCTCCGGTTCTTACACTCACCATACGAAACACAGCAGCATTAAGCTACTATTTCACGCTGGTATTCTTTGAGAGCGTGGTCCTTCCCCGGTCGAGCCGACCAATTCGTGCTACAACTATAGGTACTACTAATATAACTGCAGCATGGTTCTACCACGTATAAAAATGTATAATAATGATTATGTACTTTAATACGGATGGCACATTTTTGTACGGTTTATAACTACATAAGAAGCCACATAATAAGTGTAAAAGTATGTAAACATTATAAATTACGTAAAAGAATTGATATTTAGAAAGTCTTAGTTAGTAAAAACGAAACAAATACACATACTTTAAAAAATCTTAAAATATACTAATACACAAAGAGACCTTGTAAAATTTATCCTGAACACTTTATGGATTATTTTATTTAATTCTATTCAACAGAAATAGCCCAAGATTGTGTAGGCATTTCATATAACTTTTCATTATTACGTAGCAAAGTATTAATTCATCAAGTGTTTACAAATACATAAGTACTTTTCTTTAAATAATTGTTTTGGACACTTTAACACAATTTTTATTTAACATTTTATATTTAAATTTACCGAACGTTTGGCCGACATATAACAACATTAAAATCATCATTATTCATCTCATGTTATAAAATATTATCATCCAGTCTAATTTATAAAATCAAAAACCTGACTAGATAAATTAGCAAATAAGTTTAACTCAGCACTTAAATACAACACATAAATTCAATTAAAAACCTAAACCTAAAAAATTTATAAGTATTATTGACTTACGTATATAAATGCAGTCATAACAAGTAAAATTATAAAAGATACAACCTCAGATCAGTTTATCTTAATCAAAATGAAGAGAGAACGGGGGCAAGAATAAGATAGATTTAAATTTAAAATGATACGAATTACATAACTTAATATTATTATTGGTTCTACTCAACGGCCAACCTATATCGTAATTTTCCCAACAACTTGCGAATACATTAGTACAAACTGAAAAGACAACTCGCTTTATTCATGTAGTAGCTTACCCATAAAAATGTTTTGACAATTTTCAAACCACGATATTTCGAGAACAAAGTCATATTTCTTTTATATCATTTGGCTGTGAGCATTTTGGCCAATAATTCATTGCTTCTTTTCTGCATCTAATGGTACCATAGTTTCAGGAAGATCCAAAGAAGTATTACTCATTCTTTTACCACTGCAGTTTGTGAAACAAGTATCTCCAACTCCGAATTTCTCCCCATCTTCAATTGATTGCGGTAGATTTCTGCCGATGGTTTCGGGCAGTAGGAATGTAGAAAACCCGGATAACAAAGCTAGAAATCCAAAGATTATAGTAGGGATTTTTGGATTGAGTGTATCGAGCAAACTGATCAAAGGTGTTAACGCACCAGATACACTTGCACACATACTTCCGAGACCGACCCCTGAGCTTCGTACCACAGTTGGAAACAGTTCCGCTGAATACTTATAGATGATTGAATAAGATCCGGATATAAAAAGTTTTCCAAGCATAACAACGCCGGTAGTGGACGTAGAACCATGAGGTAAAGCGACTACAACTAAGCAAGAAACCCCACCTAACAACATCATGACACTGATCAGTGCTCGGTGACCTACTCGGTCTAAATAATACATATTTATTACATAGCTGGGTAGTTCGACTACACCCATTAGAAACATTATAAAATAGGGATTTCCATTTAGTTTTCCAGTATTCAGAGATAAACCGTAATAAACAACAGAATTGGCAAACCAGCAGCCACAGATTATTAAAGTTTTCTTTAGCATATTAGGCGTTTTGAAAAGGTCAAACGTTCCAGCTGAATGCTCGTCAGAATATTTCGCGCTCGCTACTTTACATTGAGATACCAGTGAAGCAGTATCCACAGTTTCATTTGATTTGTTAATTTTTAGAGCTTTTTCTATAATGGCAACCGACTCACGAGCGCGGCCTTGAGCCCACAGCCACCTGGGAGATTCATCCATTATAAGCCAGTGTGGAAGTAATATCGCTGCGTGTAATGCATATAAAATTTGCAAATAGAATCTATTGTCTAAAAGGTATCCCCAAGCGGCCAAAAGCATTATTCCGATTGCAAACATAATTTGAAATGTAACGCCACAGACGGTACGTCTACTTGGTCCGACAAGCTCCATGGTCAATACGAAACCGGCTATGTAAGAACCAGATCCAAAAATACCATAAAGAAATCGAACTGCTACAAATGTATAATATTCTGTGGTGAAAGCAACTGCTATGCCAAATGCTAGTTGGAGAACTCCAGACCAGACAAAAATTGTTTTCCTACCCAGTTTGTCACATAGACGACCAAGTACGACTGAGCCGACGACTACACCAAACATGTATGCGGTTTGTGCTGCGGCACCCATCCATCGGCGACTGCACACTAGATCCCATTCAATCCCGCGCGATGATGAATAGTATTTAGTGTCGTAAACCCACGAGCGACACTCTTCAAATGATTTATTTACCCCATACACGTTACAAGAATCCAACCTTCCGTGTTCATTTATGGGGATAGCATTTTGTACTAGAGAGGAATTCCACGGTTCAGTAAAATTCATGCTGTCTATTCCTTCGAGGGCACATCTGAAATTAAATTAAGATTATGTTCTTTATTTTTAAAATTAACGAAAAATTAATAACAAGTAGAAAAATAAACACTGTGCAAAAATGAATGATAGCTTGTGCTTGTCTTGTCTTCAAAGTCAGTACTTTAATACTATGAAAATAATTATTACGTACATTATCTTTTTGGTAATAGGTCAAATGCAAATGATTCAACTGAAGGTGGTGTGTTTTGTTAAAATAGACACGAAATTGTAAGAAAGATGATAAAGCATGCATCTACATAAATCTATCATGCAGAATAATAAATATATAATGACTGTAGAAATAAATCATCATCATTATTTACCATCATTACAGCCCTTCACAAGTCAAATGCTGAATATATGGAGAGGGCTATGCTCGGAGTTTCTCAGCGCGATAAAGTAGAACCAGAGTAACCAACATGGCCCAACGAAAGTGAGAACTAAAATGACAATGGGCCGGCCATATAGCTCGAGAAGAACCGGCAACCGATGGGGAAAAAAGGTCCTCTAGTGGCAGCCTCGTACGGCTCGTCGTATGGTAGGCGTAGTGTACGGTGACCCCAGCTAGATGGAGTGACGACCGGGTAAGACATGCAGGAAGTCCACGGATGCAGGTGGCTCAGGACCGTGTTTTGTGGTATTACCTGGGTAGGCCTATGTTCAGCAGTAGAAATAAATAGTATAAGTTAATGTTTGACATTCACTTATATGATTTATTTACGGAATTACGAAACATTTAGTTTAAAAAAGTAGTGTTTATATTAGTTTTATATTAGCACAAATAAAGCGTTAAATTCATACCTTTTCCAGAAAAGTATTATGGAATCTTATAGCAAAGTGTACTTACTTTCAATCACCCATATGTGTAATAGCACCAAACGTCACAATGTTTTAAAAAAAAGTAAACGAATACCAAAGCCGATCTTAAACAACCTTTATCCAAAAGAAAGCGAATTTGTTGAAAGACATTAGACAATCCAAAAGTAAATAATGTGTCCATTATTTACTTTCAGGTTTAGTGAAAGATGACCGCCCACCGCGTTAACATTTATAATTGAAATGTAAGTAAGGAGTACTCAGTTCCTTTTCATTAATAAAAGAGTTTTTTTTCTAATATATATGTCAAATAAACAAATATATATATATATATATATATATATATATATATATATATATATATATATTATAAACTAAAGTACTTGTTTTGACCATCACTATACATGGTCACTTAACTATTGCAAAATTAAAATAAATTGGCAATCATTTAATGTAACTTATAATAAATCCAAATTTAAACACTAATTGAAAAGGGTCTGAGATAAGTTGAACCTGAATACCATTAGAAAGAAAAGTGGACAATCCGACTCGAATAAGCTTACAAACTCACGACTTCACCGCTATAATAATATTTCCTTTGCTTCTGAGTCGACCTTGTTTATTGGCGAATGATTCAAAATTTTGCTGCGTTTCTTCTTTTGAATAAAACCAAGACTTTAAATTAAACATTATATTTTCAATAATTCGCCAATAAGCAATTGCTGAAAATAATTAATGCGAAACGTAGGATGTTTCATGCACGTGCAACTTATGGAATTTGTAATGTACTGGAGATGTAAATTTCAGTCTGAACACAAGCAGTTCTATACATCATAATATATCATTTGTATGAGGATCAATACTAAATACAACTACTAATAGAAATGTGTAAAATAAAAATAAACGCTAAGGAATTCCGAACTTATAATAGATTTAACTTAATATATCTAAAGTTGATAAGAATTACCTCGCACATATCCGCTCTATAAAATAAAATGATGTGTCTTACCTAGTTTGAAGAGCACCTGACCGCTAAGTAGTACCTAAGTAGTAGCGGTCAGTCACCGTAGTCAACATCACCTGAGGATGCCTCGTGTAGAGGCGAAACACGTGTGGTATTATCGTCGATGGTGTGTCTTTCCTAGAATAGTGGTGTTAGGAGTAGTGTTGCTGGGATTAGTGGTGACGGGATTAGTACACGCAATTGAGGGAGGGCGGAAAGTGCTCTTCAAACAAGGTAAGACACATCATTTTATTTTATTGAGCGGATATGTGCGAGGTAAATCTTACCAACTTTAGTATAATGGTTTTCCGCAAAGTAACACCTGATTCTATTATTTGTCTTAATATATCTAATTTGTACGAAATCATTCCTTGATGAACAGAAAGTTATAAATAAGAGGAAAAAATCAAAAATTATATTGACCAAAATGTACTTAGGTATAATAGAAACAGAAGCACAAAACGTCACAAAAAAGTAGACATAATGTAAAAGCCAGTCCGCTCACCACGATTTTTTGTGCCTGTGTTAGAATCGCTGTTCACACCTAATACAATAATTATATATATTAGGTACTTAAAATTGTCAGCCACCTTTTAATGTTAATATTTTGTATACTATTAATGATAAGGGAATTTTTTTTTCCTTTTAATAAATTATAGCAAATATCACAGTAAAATATAAACATTTCAGTATTAATATACAAAAATTTTGTATACCATTTATCTAATGAGAACAATCTCTTTTTGCATAAATTTAACATTATTTTACTGATATAAATAAATAAAATATTAAATATAGTAAAATAAATATTATATTTGTTTTAATTTTGTTTAAAAAAGAATAGAGGAGTAAATTTACCTATGTTCAGGTACCGCAGCCACTGTTACCAGAGACAGCATGTGCATGCCGGCTGTCATTGCCGCCAGTATGTGAAGAATAAATTGGAAGCATTGATATTTCCCGAAGTCCCCTGAAAAAAAAAAAGGATTAATTTAGAGCTTATCTTATTATTTAACTGGCAACTTGCCACAGGTTCGCAGGTGCGGTTCGATTCACTAGTGTATTTATATTTTTTATAGAGTAAGGGTGACAAACAACCATGCAGCCCACTTGATTGTAAGTGGATGCTGTGGTTCATAGACATCTACATTTATCCTCGATTAAGAATCAAAACACAGATGCGTTGGCACCCCTGGGGACTAAGATGCAATTAAAAAAGGATCTAATTTTTGTGAATTCATCACAAAATACTATTACAATGTTTATTTTATTTTTAGAAATCCTTTACAGTGGTGAAAACCCAATTAAAATCTATAAAATAAAGTTTTGAGCGAATACACAGATAGATTTTATACGTGGTAGCGTCATGCTGCAGATATATTACTGGTATAGTTGTAGCACGAATTGGTCGGCTCGACCGGGGAACCGGCGCTCTCACACAATACCAGCGTAAAATAGCAGCTTAAAACTGCTGTGTTTCGTATGGTGAGTGTAGAGACCGGAGACCGTTTTTACTGGAAACGAGGCATTCCATCTTAGTCCTCACACGGGTGATAACGCATCTGCATTTTGATTCGTAATCGAATATAGATGTAGATGATAGATGTCTATGGGCCGTAGTAACCACTTGCCATCAGGTGGAACGTGTGCTCCTTTGTCACCCTAATGTTATAAAAAAAAGACAAATGCAAATACATATATAAACTCTTTATTTGCCTTATTCGCCACGCTTGGCAAACTTCTTGCACCTTCGACAATATGAGGTAACACCTAGTCTCAGATCTGGGTATTTCACGTATCCTGTGGTGAACGGAGACAACTAGATATCCTTTTTACTGGTACGTTCTATCTTAGCCCTCAGAGGTGACAACGCATCTTCATTTTGACTCTTAATCGAGGACAGATGTCTGTGTCCATGGGCTACAGCATCCACTTACCATCAGGTGGACTGTGTGCTCGTTTGTCACCCTATCCTATAAAAAAGGTCAGTGATACGCAAAAGGAAAACACTATGTTCTTTCTACAAAAATATATATTATAAAAATATCATCAACAACTTTTTAATTCCACGACTGAAAATTTGGCGTATTCCGTAGTACATTTACTTCGAACTGAATTCAGAGTAGGTACCTACTTCATTAGGTAAGAGATAAAAATTGACCAAAAGCAAAGAAATAAAAACGTGACTTATGATATTATTAACAAGTAAATGATCTACTATCATATCGTAAATTTATTCAACAGCATTTCGTGACCAAGGACAAAAATGTTTCACTATTGGTGGGTAATACACGTTCGCGTAAGTGATAGCAATCGAATATCATACATATTATATTTTTTAACATAATATAAGGGGGGGTTAAAGAGATTCTTTTTACAACTTACATACCTACCCTAATTATGCGGTGAACCTAAACTGGACGGTTTTTAAAGATACCTAATGAATAAAAATATTATTTTAAAGATAATCGGTAAATACTAAAAAGTATATAATGATTATGTGTTTGTATAGTATTATTATATATTCTGTGGTTTTAGTACGTACATATTTGTACGTCAGTGAAACTGTCGTAAAGCATTAATCAGTGTGTTACCTAGCATTGACTTTCTCTTGAATTGCTCGCGTGTAACTTAGGATTTTTTTTCGCGACACTAATTCTTTTTCTTAAATAAAAGTAGACTTAGTTACTCTTTATAGCAACAGCTACCTGCCAGTGAATGTCCCGCCAAAGTGATCCAACCGTTTCTGAGGTTAGCCGGAACAACAGACACAAAAAGTTTAAAATTGTGTTTTTGGTATAAGTACCGTATATACTTTCATATTCATTAAGTTAAAAGCTGTTGTTTTCAAATTACAAACTTATTAAAATTAATAAAAAGGGAAATTACAAATTCAATTTTACTGATAATAGATTTTAAAAAGGTTTGTACCTACGTTCAACAGAAATAGTAAGCTATTATTGTCTTATTATTACGATTTCTGTAGTACGTTCTATACCAGACGATTTACGATGCCGCGATTGAAACTCACGGCGTGGCGTCTGTTATGAAAATTTAAATTTTTTAAGAATTTCCTAAATACCAACATTCGTATAAAATAAAGAATACAAAAATAAAGAGATATAAGTAAAGCGCTTATCTGTAATTAAAGAAATTTTGATTATATAGCCATTAAATAAGCGTATCTACGTAAAGCATAATATACATTATTAATTTAAAAAGCAGTGTCATAAAGTAGATAAAGAGCGTATAGTATTTAGAATTGTTACGCGATAAGTGACGCTGCCCTTTAGCAACCTCTGGACTTTAAATGCTCATTACTCGTAGGTACTTAAAATTTAATTATAAATTACGACAAGCACATGATTTGCGAAACACTTTGTTAAATAGTTATCCTTTAATTACCTACTTATAAAAGAGTCAGAATATACCCACGTGCTGTTTTAAAAAAAATTAATAAGTAATTTAGAGAACTAGGTACTTATATTAACTTTATTTGACAACCACGCTATAAATTCGTCACTATAAATATATCGCGAAAAAATAATGTAAGGGTAGGTGATATTTTAACTTTTACACTCATCTTTGTTTCTGTCCACCTGAAACTAGCACTTAGAAATAATGGTACTCATAATAGAGCGCGTGATTTCTTGAAACACATTCCCATAACAATTCGGTTATCGTGGTACAGTCCCACGATTGTACCTGCATATTAATGAAATATTCAACGTATTTACACACATACATAAACAATGACTTCCGTATCTGTATAGGAATTTTATGCGACACATTTATTTTAAAGCCCTTTCTAAGAAGCGATAAAACCAAATAAATAGAAGATTCTTTAATTTATATTATACCTTTAATGAAATCCATAGAATTTAAATGCGTAAAAATTTACAAGAAGCAACAAGTCAAACGAATTTCCAGATGTTATTCTATTTTTATTGACACAGATGTTGACACCGATTATTTCGTGGCGAATTCCAAGACACTACAGAAATAAGAGCCACGATAATATTTTTGCTAATTAGGTCACCTCAATATTAATTTATTACTTTACTCACAATAGTAAAAATTTTATTGCACTATTATTGTCTGGAAAAAATTGGAAAACTCTTATCATTTTGTAATATGCGGCAAATGCCCAATGCTAAATCTATGTTATATTTATTTTTATTTAAAACTTACACTACATGTAACACCTTAAGCTAAAGGGTATATATGGCGGACTTAATGCCACCTGGCATTCTCTGCCAGTCCCTTGGGTGCCAAGGACATTTGTTGGCAGGTGCGAACATTATATGTAAATAAAGTGCACATATATTAAAATATACATATATACAAAGTACGTACATACACAATACATTTAAATATACACACATATAGCATAAATAGGGGAAGGTCAGGTAAAGTGACCACCCTAAGGATTGAATGACTGCCTATTAGATAAATAGTTAATTATACTATTCGTCATCAGCTATTTTTAATATATTGCTGAAAACGGGTTTCTCCAAAGTTGCCATATAGGAGAGGATTGATGACATAAAATAAATATATGATCTCTTATCCGTCATAGCAGGAAACATTCCTCGGGTGTAAGACAGTTTTCAGTCATCGGTTTGTGATTAGTTGAATGTGAACTAAATTACCGTTAGGGATCGCAATTGCTAGATAGCATCCAGCAATTCAGCCGGCTTTTTATAGGAGAGAGGGTAAACGAACATACGGCTCACCTGATGGTGATTACCGCCGTTCATGAACAACTGCAACACCAGGGGAATTGCAGATAGCTCCAGAATATTCTCTGGTTCTCTTATTGGATCCAGAAATCTAATACTTCAAATAATAGCGAGCGAACGGCACAAAAGGCTACATTGCCGCTTTGCTAGTTGCGCTACCAAAATTCGGCGCGAGCGGCATTGCCGTTCTGCCGTAGTCTCAAAGATTTTATGCTAAAATTACAGCTACATAGCTTTTTTCTACACTGCAAGCACTACTTTGGTTCTTTGATTTGCTTTCTGCAGGGTTTGTTCTTCCTGCTAGACAGAGTGCCATTGCTGCAATTTTCATGTGAAAATTAGTCAAAAACTGACTACATACCTAATTATTTAATTAAAAGGGGTCTCTTAGATATATTTTATTAAAATATGTGGTTCTGTTTTTTTTTTAACAAAAATTAAAATCTAAATTTACTTATTTTAACTCATCGAGCCATGGAAAATATATCATAAACAATTACTAAGTTTACTTTAAAAGAGAAACCTGAAGCAGCCAAAACTAATAGCTACAAAGTGACTTTGAATAAAAATGTCTGACCTAATTAGTATCTATAATATAAGCCTGCATCTGCAAAACCCACTCAAAAATGGATTTTGTCTCCATCCAGCTTACAAAACGTTTTTTTTTTTCAAAACAAACAACAGACAAACACACTCACATGCTAAGTTTACTTATTAATTATACCTAGTTACCATTTATTTTTTCCTTAAAGCGGGACATCTTTAAAATTATTATAGATTTAACACTTTTGACGAATTGCAGATTACTTAAAGAATTGCAGATCACGTGATCCCGGGTTCGTAACCAGAGTCGGGCCAAGTATCATTTATTGGGTTTTTCTACCACAAAGTTCTCAGTAGTAGCCCGGAATATTGATTTCTAACTTATTGTTGGTGGTTTTCACCACCGTGCCTCCGGAAGCACGTAAAGCCGTTAGTCCTGCGCCTGATCTCTCTCCCGTCGTCTCGGATTACTGTTTCATCGGACTATAAGAGAGGGAGTAGGGTAGATCTGTGCTTCATGTTCTACGCGGGCCCCGTTTTTGCCCACGCCAACCCTAAAATTATTAATGAACTCCAAATAGTTCAAAACCTTTTCTGTCGTCGAGCTGCGAACGCACCTTTGTACGTCCGTAATGCTGACCTTCATCGGGACCTAGAGCTCCCCACAATTCAACAATATCTCCAAAAACTCTCTGAGAACTTCTTCAAAGCCTCAGAGTCGCACTCAAACCATTTAATTCGTGAGGCAGCTACTTATGCAGCCCCACCCCCCTCTCGCTATCGAGTCCGCAGGCCGAGAAACTCTCTCTCGGACCCGCCTAATAAACTAACAAACGACCTAAACTGCCTCCTGGCGGCGCAGGCAGACTCTAATTAAATTAAATTATTTACTCATAAAAGGGGCACGGCTCGCCGCGCGCCTCCCAAAAAGGGACCAAAAGACAAAATACGCAAATTTAGGGGGTATCAATTAGTCCCTCATAACCACGATAGACCGGCTATCGTGGTATGCGTAATGCATTTTCCGCCTCCCTACGTATAGGGTAGCCCTTTAATTGCTTCGGGCGCAAAAAAAAAGTAGACCTGTTGTTCGTCGTCTTCATGCACCTAGGTACATGTAGGTATTGGGTCTCGGGCTAAACCCCATTACCCGGATATCCTCATACCCCATAACTATGGGGCAGTCATTTTAGCCTATTCTTGGCATGGATAGTGCTACGTTTTATAACGTAGCCGGATAAGAAGAATTTTTTCCCGTAGTTCACCGACTACGGGAAAAGGAGGTTATCAATAGAGGTTATCTAGGTGGGTCTAAGTTGGCCTTTCAGCGGCATTGGGGGTTGTTACTCGACTCTCTAATCGATATAGAGAGGAGTTCTCTTGGAAGGGGTCGCCCGTCCGGGGGCCGAGTGTGCAACGGTGCAAAACCGTTGAGATGGTCATGTGGCCCGTTATCGACACGGTCGACATGCCGCGCGCTAGCCGGGCCACGAAGTCGGTGATGGTCTCGACTTTCAGATCGGCCGCTATGACGTCATTCCGGACGTAACGACCTGCTCCGACAATCGTCCTTAATGACAGGTTCTGCTGAGCCTGCAGTCGCCGCCTCAGAGGGTCGCTCAGAAGCGCGTACCAGGCCGGAGCAGCGTAGGTGGTAATGGGCCGGATATACATCTTGTATATCCGGAGCTTGGTCTTTATTGGCAGCTTGGATGCCAGGACCGGACGAAGCATCGCCCGCGCACATCTGGCTTTGCGGACGACGAAGTCGAAGTGCGCAGTCATGCGCAGCGCCCGGTCGATCCGGCACCCGAGGTATGTCACGGCCTTCTCGTACGCGATCTTCTGGCCGTCGAGAGTTAGCGGAGGTGGTAGATTTCTGAGACGGCGAGTGAGCAGAGCGGTCGTCTTACCAACGTTGACGACCATCCTCCACTCATTCAGCCATGGTGGCAACAGGTCCAGCAGACGCTACATTTTGGCAGTGGCTATATGGGCTCTTCTGGAAGAAGTGAAATAGGCGCTATCGTCCGCATATAGCGCCAGCTCAACATCGTCCTCCCAGTAGACCTGTGCTTGCGCATACACTTGGGCAATATAATCCTGTCCTGCGCAGACGGCTATTCTCCGTTGAGAATGGCCGCCGTTACCAAAATTCAATCTGGAACCCTTTATTATAGTTTTAAAAATAAAACAAATATTTGTTTGAATATTTTAATGATCAAAAATGAGAATACCAGCGTGAAATAGTGGCTTAATGCTGCTGTATTTCGTATGGTGAGTGTAGAGAACCGGAGACCCTTTTTACTGAAAATGAGGCATTCCATCTCAGTCCTCATGGGTGACAACGCATCTGCATTTTGATTTTTAATGGAAGATAGATGTAGATGTCTATGGGCCGCAGCAACCACTTACCATCAGGTGGACTGTGTGCTCGTTTGTCAGCCTATTCTATAAAAAAAAAAGTGAGAATGAGAATTTAGAATCATATAAAATTTGGCTGCTGACTATTTATTTTTTTCTGAACAGCAAATAAATACCAATTATATAAATAACTTATGTTATTTGATAATTTGTTGTAGATTAATTAAAAATTGTCCCTTCGCAACTTTAAGTTCAATAGTGTAGGTTTTTAGCATAATCACGTAACTAGTCAGACCATGCTGGCAAACCTGGTACGCGCGGTGTCATAATGATGGCACGGGTGACAGAGTTTGCATGATGCTACGCTTTTGTTTGTCAAAGCGGGAGATTTTTACGTATTTTAGGGACAGCGGGATACAAATCTTTAAATCGGGACCGTACCGCCTAAAGTGGGACGTATGGTCACGTTAGATATACTACAGCTGGGTTCAGGCCTCTAATTTTTGAGGGTTCCGAAGAAGGGAAAATTCGCACTATTCTAATATTTATTTGCGAACGTCGCTCAAATCGAAAACTGAAAAACTTTTTCAGAAACATTAATTTCTCAGACATGGCGGTTTCATCACGATTTTTTTTTACCGTCGAATAAGAGATAGATTAAACTTTATGCGCCCTCCTTTCTGCCAAGGAGGGTCGCGTCCGTTTATGGCCTAAAGATCTCTCGTCAGATCGTTAAGCCTGTCCCAAAAAGGTGGAGTTTAGTGGGTAAAAGTCTCCACATAACCACGCAGCCGTCTGCGTGGTATGCTATGAGCATTCCCCACCTCCCTCCCCCGTTACCGGAGGATTGCCCTTATTTGCTTCGGGCGCAAAAAAATTAACTTTAGCTTAACTACTTAACCGAATTTTGTCATTTTTCTATCGGAATGAGTAATCATAACTTGCTAAACTAAAAAAAGATAATGTTGCCATAAAGTTTCACATTATAGTAAGAATACTTAACTATTATTTCAATTAATGTTGAAAGACAAACGCAGACGTATTCACACACATCGCAAGCTATGTATGTATCTTGACGTGAATATGCATTGTTAGTGATATGTACTTGTGTGAGGTTAAATGGCACACGTTTCCCTCAATCAACTACTTGAAGGAATTGTAAATTAATGCGCTCATGCGCTGGATTCACAAATATACGAACAACCCGAATTATTAGAAACCAATATTTTAGATTTGCTCTAAATTTTGAAAGAATCAAGAAAATTAACAATAAGCGCTAGATAGTCATGCTTTTTAGATCAAATTTTACTCCAAAATAAGTAGATAAGTACATAATAAATTTATCAGTATTGAATTAAAATCTGTTTTATTAAATTCCATTCTAATGAACTAAGATTATCAAATAATCAAAGGGATACAGAAATGCGTATAACTTTAGAGAAAATCATGTAATACAAATATAGTTGCACTAAAAACGAAAAAAATCTTTTGTATATCCTTATCGGTGTTGTTTGCTCTTCTGACAATAATCAAGCAGACAAAGGATAGTTTCAAAAGTAAAGACATAAACCAAAACATTTGTCGCTAATTTTCTTTAAGTACCCTCTTTGACAGGATACTCCTGCATGAAGTTGAAGGTATCTGCTCAAAGACGATCGAGAAGAGATCAAAGATATTAAAAACATGCCGCAAAAAACTACATGAAATTTGCAAAAAATATTAATCCGTTCCTCAAAATCGTATAAAACATGGCAAACAGGTTTGCTAACTATAAAGCCACATGATGACTATGTGTGCATACGTAATTTTTTAAGCATAATGCAAACAAACGAGCACACAATCCAATTGATGGTAAAAGGATGCTGTGGCCCTTGAACATCTACATCTATCTTCGACTAAGAATCAAAATACAGATGCATTGTCAACCGTAAGAACTAAGATGGAATGTCTCGATTCCAGTAAAAAGGGTCTCCGGTTCGTCAAAAACTCGAAGTTTCGACTTAAGTGTTTAGTTTTAGCTTAAAAAATTAACAATTCATTATTTTATTATTACCTAATTGCGATGGTTGGTGGCACGCAAAACTTATTCCACAAAAATATAAACAAGATTTCTGTGACTAATAGCTAACACATAACATGGCCTTGACCGATTTTTATTTCTTCAAATGTTAGTAGCTAATGAAACATATACAATATTAAAAAACTATAATAAAGAAAAACTAAAAACATAAATTATTTACATTTTTGGCTTAAAGAAGTTCGATCACGTCTCTGTTTATCGCAAGCAGCTTAAATGGCTCTCATCTGCCTTCGCCGTAACACTCGAATCCTCTGTCTTTTCAATATTCTACATAATCCCGATACTCCGCTATATCTAAAAAATCGTTTTACTTTTGTTCATCCTCCAGATGTTCCCTGTAGATCAAATACAGGACACTGTTAAGATTTCTGTCTTTCAATACAATGCACTATCCTAATTCTTTTACTATCAACGCAGTACGATTGTGGAATTCACTTCCCTTTAGGATTCGTGACGCTAAGTCGGTGTCTAATGTCTATGTTTAAAAGACTTGTTAAAGAGCACTATCATTCACACCATAATTATTAATTCGTGATGTGTACGTATTCATATATGTAAAATACTTGGGCTACAGTTGACACTTGATTCATTCAGTAGACACATCAGGTGGACTGTAAGTTTATAAAAAATATTCCTTAATTTAAAGATGTTTTATTGTCATGTGATACATTGCAAAATATTTGAATTCTTTTTTATCACTTCTAAGATCTTATCTAAGCATCATGTTTGCTTTTGTTCGATGAAATAAACAAACTGTTCTCAGTGTCACGCCAACCTTGTAACATGAACTAAGGTATTTAAACCCGCTTGCGCTTAGCAATGTTGCGGTTGATTGTGAATATTCTGCAGTGACGAGCGAGGACAATAAACAACTTTTATTTACTAATAATTAATTATCATTTATACTATGCGTAATAAGTTATATCATTTTTATAATATTTTAATTTACTCTACTGGTCATGCATAAATCTCCAAATGCGTGTGATACTTATCTATTTTATCTATAACTAATCCATTTTTTACAACGTTTAAGTTAATGATAAGAGGACAGCAACCTCTTACCATTAACTTAAACCTTGCAAATGTTGTCCATGGACATCCGCAGCCAACTTCAAATAGAATCCTACAAATTGTTGCCACTTTAGAAGACTAAATGAGACTAAAAGTGAATTAATTGTTTTAGTCTGTAATTATAATAGCTCTCTCTCTCTCTCTCTCCCTCTCTCTCTCCATACATTATTTCAGAATAAAGCACGGCAGTTGTTGTACTATTGCTTAGGGGTAGACTAAATGGGAGTTCATAACCTATTTCGCAACATAAATATGTCCCGTAACACGTAGGAAGATTCGTCGTAAAAAATGCTTTCAGCATTGAAGATATTACTTAAATTCCGTGCAGGCGCATTGACATTTTATACTTTCGACGCCATTTAAATATTCCTTTACGTTTCTTTATATTCTTTAGCATTACCGTCAATAGTTAACACTATATTAAAAATTTGTGTGGCATTTACTCATAAATCTAGTGTATATACAAAAATCTAATGTTTATTCCCCGTGCAACGATAGGTAAGAATAGGTATCCACTACACCATATCTTCGCGTGAGTGTCGTTTGAGGCGACAGAAACTGAGGCAGAAGCTGGGCAGCATCTTTCTGATAGCAGCAAAATAACAATAAAAACTGTGGTTACCAACCTGCTTACCAAGCAACTATAGCAACCCCCCTATGATGAGAGTTGCGAAGGGACAGCCCCCAGTCCCCAGCAGCACTACTATTTCTGGCTACAGTAATGACCATGGTAACCGGACGGGACAGGGGGTGTTAAGAATCTCTGGTGGAAGTTCGGTTGCCACTTAAGATGACTCGACCTGACAACGTATATTAACGCATGCACTCTGAGGACTGACGAGTAGATCCTGGAACTGGATCTATCTCTCCGGGAAGGCGACCATCGTTGTAAAAATTAAAAGTATGACGACGAGGGTTGCGTACCTTATACTCATAATCACCAAAAAGTATTCGCTGAAGGTCATACAGGTTTACGCACCAACCTCGGCACATTCCGATGAGGAGGTGGAGGAAAGGTATGAGAATGAATCTAAAGCCATGCATTCTTCCAAAACCCACTATACGGTGTTAATGGGAGACTTCAACGCAAAACTAGATACAAAAGAGGACGGTGAGCTGAAAGAAGGGAACTTCGGGATAGGGCAACGGAACTCAAGGGATTATCAGTTGGCCGACTTCAAGGAGAAAATGGGACTCTTTATAATGAACTCTTTCTCCAAAAAGCGACCCCACAGGAAGTGGACCTGTTCAAGTCACGACGGTTCGACAAAAAATTAGATTGACTTTATAATGATTACTAGACGGCAACTGTTTAGTGATGTCTCAGGGATCGTGAGGGTGAAAACTGGCAGTGATCACCGAATGGTGAGAGACATACTGAACCTAAACTTTAAGTTGGAAAGGTAACGGGCTAATGAAGTCAACGCTCCGTCCCCCACGTGCTCTAATAACCAACAACCGATGAGGAAAAAAGGTGCTCGAATGGCAGCCTCGTACCGGTAGGCGAAGTGTAGGACGACCCACTAGATGGAGTGACGACCTGGTAAGACATGCAGCAAGTAGATGGATGCAGGTGGCTCAAGACCGTGCTTTGTGGCATTACTTGGGGGAGACCTATGTTCAGCAGTGGACTTGTGAAGGGCTATAATGATGATGATGATTATTTCAACTCCATTTCAACTCCAACACAAATGCACATACATAACGTTGCATTTGTTGTGAACTGAACTACTTATGAAATTTATAACGAAATAGATTTCCAAAATTGCCATTTAATTGTCTAAAGGCACGGCACATTTTTAATAGCACATAATTTAATGAAATTATTATTCCAACTCCATACGTTACATTTGTGTTAAACTGAATCTACTTATGAAATTTATAATGAAATAGATTTCCGAAAATTCTGGCATTTAATTGTCTAAAGGCACGGGTCACGGCACATTTTTAATCGCACATAATTTAATGAAATTATTATTCCAAATCCATACGTTACATTTATGTTAAACTGAATCTACTTATGAAATTTATAATGAAATAGATTTCCAAAAATTATGGCATTTAATTGTCTAAAGGCACGGGTCACGGCACATTTTTAATCGCACATAATTTAAGGAAATTATTATTCCAACTCCATACATTACATTTGTGTTAAACTGAATCTACTTATGAAATTTATAATGAAATAGATTTCCAAAAATTCTGGCATTTAATTGTCTAAAGGCACGGGTCACGGCACATTTTTAATCGCACATAATTTAATGAAATTATTATTCCAACTCCATACGTTACATTTGTGTTAAACTGAATCTATTTATGAAATTTATAATGAAATAGATTTCCAAAAATTCTGGCATTTAATTGTCTAAAGGCACGGGTCACGGCACATTTTTAATAGCACATAATTTAATGAAATTATTATTCCAAATCCATACGTTACATTTATGTTAAACTGAATCTACTTATGAAATTTATAATGAAATAGATTTCCAAAAATTCTGGCATTTAATTGTCTAAAGGCACGGGCCACGGCACATTTTTAATTGCACATAATTTAATGAAATTATTATTCCAACTCCATACGTTACATTTGTGTTAAACTGAATCTACTTATGAAATTTATAATGAAATAGATTTCCAAACATTCTGGCATTTAATTGTCTAAAGGCACGGGCCACGGCACATTTTTAATAGCACATAATTTAATGAAATTATTATTCCAAATCCATACGTTACATTTATGTTAAACTGAATCTACTTATGAAATTTATAATGAAATAGATTTCCAAACATTCTGGCATTTAATTGTCTAAAGGCACGGGCCACGGCACATTTTTAATCGCACATAATTTAAGGAAATTATTATTCCAACTCCATACATTACATTTGTGTTAAACTGAATCTACTTATGAAATTTATAATGAAATAGATTTCCAAAAATTCTGGCATTTAATTGTCTAAAGGCACGGGTCACGGCACATTTTTAATCGCACATAATTTAATGAAATTATTATACCAAATCCATTCGTTATATTTATGTTAAACTGAAACTACTTATGAAATTTCTAATGAAACAGATTTCCCCAAAATTCTGGCCTCTAATTGTCGAGGCAACGACGAGGCAAAAGGCACGATGTAGTACTTGCAAATTGAGCACAAAAATGAAGGCTTGATAGTGGCTTACTGTATCGCAACTACACCTACCCACAAATAAGATAGTAGTTAGTAACCTAGTTTCTTCTTGCAAATATACAAAACCTAGCTGTTCCCCGCGAATTCCTCCGCGTGTAATTTTTTACGATTGGATTTCATATTTTTCAATTTTCAATCCGGCCCAAAAAAAATTAAGGCCGGAACCCTAATTATCTTTTAAAAATAAAATAAGCCTTAGTTACCACTTATAACATCAATTAGCAGATGCCAGTGAAAGTCTCGCCCAATTGACCCAGCCAATTCTTATATTAGCCGAAACAAACATACAGACAAACAAATAGACAAAAATTTAAATATTTTTTATTACGTGTTATCATTCATACTTTCATATGAATTTGGTAAAAAAAACTGTTATTTTGACATTAAAACGGACACTTCAATTTACCTTGGTTCGATAACATTAATTATATAATCGCAAAATTAAAACTATGAACTGAGAAAAAATTACTCATTGTAGATAAGGTAAACCTGGTCTAAAAATACAGCAATAAAGATAACTTCGACTTACTGCGTATTCGTAGCTGCCCCTAAATCTTTTAAGAAATACATATAATCGTTTTTTATTGTAATAATAATTATTTAAAATATGCTAAATGGATCTTATGTCCTTTTAACAAAGTAAATATAGTAATTGTTTTTGTATTAAAATAATTAAAACATTTGCATATATTAGGTTACTCATCACATTATATAATTTTTTATTATACTATTTACATCATATATTTACGAGTTGTCGAGTATGTTTTATATTTGATAAATCTGCTATTAGGCTTTTATGTAAATTATTACTCCTTATAACGTAACAAAAGCGATAAAATCTAGATAAATATTCATGACAAGATTACAGTGTCACATGTAATATATTGAGTAAACATTGAAGACATACTAAATTAACCTTTTAGATTACTTTGGAGATGTGATCGGTCCACACTTCCGAAATTGTGTTAAAATGGTAAATTCATTTGTAATACTTATACAAATATTGTAATTTGTTTTTGTATACATATTTATATACTATTATTACCAGTCCTACTAACTTAGTAGTACTAGTACCTAATGTTAATAACGTTACATTACTAATAATAAACAATTTATGGTTCTGGAGAGAGGTTGAATGGCAGATTCAAACCCACAACTTTTAAGTTCGCAGTACGTTACTCGTAATCACTAGGCTAAATTATGTTTGAATTTTAATGCTTTTTATCCGATTGAAAAAAGAGGTTTTCGATTCTACTATATGATTTTTTGGTTGTTTGGTTGTTCTATATAATATAAAATCTTATTTTTGGAATTTGGGCATGAAGTTTCAAGTGTTTTATTTAGACGACTTTCAAGTTATTATCTTAAGGGGAAATATAATCTCAAATGGCTTAGCAAGATCCTTCGTTATGCCGAAAATATTGCAGCATTAATTTTGAAATAAATATATGGTAAAGTTGAGGATTAATGTTAAGGATTATGTTAGACGAAAACACGATTCCGTAAAATTTTCTCGATAGAAAAAAAATCCAAACTTACCTTCAAAATAAACAATAAACCGCTGTTATTCATAAAATACTTTAAATAAGATCATGAAAATTTGCATAATTAACTGAACTAACTATAAAGCAGTGCTTATGTTATTTACTTTTTTTAAAATACCATTATTTTCACTGTAAAAAGAAATTACCTAAACTATCGGCGTTTTGAAGCGTGATTCCTGCCGCACGGCAGTGTTGCCATATATACAGATTTCCCCGTATTTATACAGATTTTCGGTGTGTGATACAGATTAGCACCGGATACAGATTTTTATACAGAGTTTTCTAACTGTATTGATTGGGTTACCATAATATTCAACTTAAAACAGAACGATGCAAAATAAGTGACTAGGGTAAGTGCACCAATGAATGAACACCCCCCAGTGAATGAACAAAAGTGAGTTTTTTCAATATAATAAGAAAAGTAAACATTTCTACCAAACACTGTATTTTTTTTTTCGAGTGGTCTAATTTTTTTACGTAAACTGGTCACACAAACATTTGCCAGCGACCCGTAGTTACAAAATGGCGACTGCTTAAAGTGGACGTGTTGTGTTGTGTTTCGTGATTGTATGAGCGAGAATTTAGGACTCAGGTAAGACAGTGCATTTTGGTATTAGCGTTGTTCACGTTATATGAGTGACAGTGTAAAGAAAACTGCATAATAAGATAGAACAATGATTATTTTATTCATTAGAAAACAACTTGTTTATAATTTCATGTGTTTAATAAAAATAAAGGGGTGTTCGATTACTAGATCATGAAAGTGAGAAAGTTCTAGTAAATGAACGAGTGTTCATTCACTGGTTCTGGTCTGTTTTGTTACTTTTGGCTAATTTTGCATGTTTCTGTTCTCAGAATTGGTTTATTTTTTGTAGAAAGGTTTAATTATTGATTGTCTACCTTTAGGCCAGTATTCGAACACCCTAGTGTTCATTTACTAGTTTTTAAATCTAATGAATGAACTATAGTATTGTTGCTACGTTCATTTACTGGTTTTCAAAAACCAATGAATGAACTATAGTATTATTGCTACGTTCATTTACTGGTTTTTAAAATCCAATGAATGAATAAATAAACTATTAATGTTTTGTTATATTTCAAGCAGTGATATTTAGTTTTATCTCAGTAATTAGTTACAAAAAATATTCAGACGCTTCAACTTCAATTTCTCTTTTTTTTTTAGTTCAAAAATAATGGAATCTACTAAAAAAGAAATACGCAAGATTCCGTTATACTCAACAACAGTTAGAGGAGGCTCTTACCCGTATAACAAATAACGATTTGTCTATTAATAAAGCCAGCAAAATATACGACATACCCAAATCAACGTTAAGTAATAAATTAAATAATAAAGTACCATGGCAACGAAAAATGGGTCCATTAACACAACTAACTTTCGACGAAGAAAACAAGCTAGCAGACTGGATTTTAACAAAAGCTAAACTTGGGTTTCCAATGCACCCGGAAGAAGTTTATGATACTGTGGAAATATTCTTGAAACAAAATGAGAGGGAGAATAAATTTACAAAAGGCCGACCGGGGAAAAAATGGCTTACTTTGTTTTTGCGAAGACATCCCGAAGTAACTAAAAGAAACGCTGAAATAATATCAAAAGCTAGGGCAGCGGTTACAGAAGAGGCCATCAGAAATTGGTTTACTGAATTGAACAAGTTTTTAGAGGAAGAAAATGCCTTAGACATTAAAGATGACCCGACTCGTATTTTCAATTCAGATGAAACTGGCGTCATGACTTGTCTTAAAACGGGGCTGATTTTGGGGCCCAAAAATTATAAAAATACATACGAAATCGCAAGGGGGAAAGAAAAAGAATCAATCACAGTCCTATGTACATTCTCTGCTGATGGTACTGATGTACCACCGTTTGTTTTGTATCCATATAAAAGAATGCCACCAGCCGTAATTCAAAATTTCCCAGATACTTGGTATATTGGCCGTTCCGACAGCGGGTGGATGGTATCAGTTGTATTTTTTACCTACATTAAGTTATTTTATGAATGGTTGGTAAAAAATGAAATCCGGTTGCCTGTATTGCTATTTCTGGATGGCCACAAGTCCCATATCAATCGTGACATGTTTGATTTCTGTCGTGAAAAAGGAATAATGATTTTCTGTTTATATCCCAACTCAACTCATATTTTGCAGCCCTGTGATGTAGGAATATTTGGACCGTTGAAGAAAAATTGGAAAAGGGTAGTGAGAAAGCATAAACAGGCATCCACTGTACCTATAACAAAACAAAATTTTGCTGCGTTGTTTAAAATAGCTTACGACAGAAGCATTAAGCCAACTACGATAAAAAATTCATTTAGAGTTTGTGGTTTATATCCAATGTCTCCAGATGCAGTTGACTACTCACGCTGCATAAGTAATAGAAGGCAAGAAATTGCGCAACAAAACCAAAAAGGCACCACAACCTCTAGTCTTCATGACCAAAAAAGAGGATCTACGAAGTACGATCAAGGTTATAGAAGGTGAAGTTGGCCAGATGATAAGAAATGAGTTTGTCATGTCTTACAATTTAAACCGTTCTCATCCCCATCAATATTTTGAGCTGTGGAAAAAATGTAGAAATCAACTTGAGAATAAAAAACAGAGTGACACGATAACACCGAATACCCCGATCATTCCTCTTGATCTGTCAGTATCATCTATAGAAGCGTCTACTTCAAACGAGGACGATTCCAAACTGGAATCAAGCCAGGCACTGGAAAGGAATAGTGTTCCCGAAATCGTCGAGTCTGAAATTACAAATGTGGAAACTGAAGAAATGCATGCAACTAATAGTTCAATTATAATAGATTCGGCAATCCGACTGCCATCGGATAATTCCATATTATTGGGTGAGACTAGTATTTTACCCAATTTACCACCCTTTGATACAACTGAAGATGTCATAGATTTTATTATTCAGAATGAAATAGACATACCTGATGTGATACCATTGCCATGGTATGATACTTTAGAAATAATAGTAGAAAAAGACCCCATTATTGACGCTCCTAATAAATGCTCTTCTCCTCAGAATAACGCATCATCCATACCAGCCATTCCCAGTTGCAGCAATAACACTAATCAAGCAAAAAATTCGCTTGAGTCCACAGTTGATAGTCAGACTGCAATAAAGTCTGTAATAGATCCCACTAATAGTATTAATTCATCGAATGATACAAATCCATCCAATCCACTAGAAGGATTTTTGAAAATACCGGATTTACCACAAAAGAAATTTAAAGTTACAAAAAAAATGCCTGCACCTTATGGATTAACAGGGCTCAAATACAAAGAATATTTAAAAAATCAGGACGATGAGAAAAAAATTAAGGAGGAAGAATTAGCGAATAAAAGAAAGGAACGAGAAGAAAAAAGACTGAACAAACAAAAATCTCAAAGCAAAAAACGTGTTCAACTGAAACGCCCAAAAAATCCCCTTAAAAAGCAAGCTAAGAAAATGAAAGTAGAACATGATGATCACACACAACCTGCCGAAGATTTTATAACAACAGATAATTTAGAAGCAAGTGAAGAGACTGAAATAGAAACTAGGAGAACTACTACGACTTGTACTGAATTTAAGGACAATTTATTTGATAGATATGTACTGGTTCAATTTGAGAGTGGAAAGAGAATGCGTCATTTTGTAGGAAAAGTGATAATGGTAAATGACAATGAAAGAAAATATAAAGTAGATTTTCTTAGAAAAAAATCCGTTGTGGAAAATGTTGTCAATTTTGCAAAACCAATAGTGCCAGATATTGCAGAAGTTGATTTCGATGATATTAAACGTGTATTCGGTACACCGAATATTTCTAGGCGCGGATTAATTTGTTTTGACGACTTAGTATTTAAAGATATTGAATAATAATTGTTTTAATTCTTTTGATATTTTTTATAGTGAGAAAAAATGTACTGCTGATTACGCTTATCTCACACTTTATGGTTAGTTTTTAAATTAATAATACCATTAACCGGTTTAGTTATTTTTAGAATGTGAAGAGATTAAGGTATCATATTTTTGTTACGCTTATTGTTGATTAGTTATATTGTAAGCTTAAGGTTTAATTTGATAAGTTTCATAAAAATTGTTTTTATTTGATTTAGGTACAACATGTTTTTTAATCTTTGTTAATTATATATTTTTATAACCAATGATGATTCTAGTCCGCTATTGTTTTAATTATCAAAATAATAAATTAATTAAAAGTGATTAAAGATACCTAAAGCCTAATTTGTAAGAGTAAAGACTGAAATAATGTATCTACTAATGTGATTACCTGGAACAGTTGGAATTAAGAGTAGTATGTCGAATAGCATGTAACGGCTACGTTGATTATTCTGTGATTTTAATGTGCCTACAATTTAAATAAAAGTTATGTTTTCGTTTTATTCTCTTTTTATTTTTTTTATATTTCCCACTGTGTTTTTATAAATATGCCTACACCATCGCTTTCAAATTCATAGTTATATTATTCAAAGAAGTATATAAATTATAAAACCACATTTACATTTAATAAATAATCAGAAACTTGTGATTTCTAGCTTAATTAGTATCAACAGAAAACGTTCATTCATTGGAGTTTAAAATGTTCATGCACTGGATTTTGGTGTTCATTTACTGGTGATTTTGGGTGCTTTGGCATAAAATGTCGATTATCTTAGTAATTATGTCCTTTAACGGCAGATTGCCCATATAATATTAAACTTGAATAAATTTTGAATGTAATAGAGTGGCATTATTAAAGCACAGCCACCCATATATAGATGCTTATAATTTTCAAAGTTTGAAATTGCCTTAAGGGTTCATTCATTGGTGCACTTACCCTAGATACCGCGTTACACACATCATTGCATGATTCTATTCTTTATGGTTAATTTATTTTTTCACAACGTAATTAGTTAGTACGGCAGAATTACAAGCGTATTATATAATATGTATATATAAAATATGTATGACTGAAAATAATAAATTAATTATATGTTCGTTTGTTGCAAATGTTTGAGTTTTAATACGTTGTTTGCTTAAATTAATGTCTTCAATTTTGCTATATAAAAAATTTTGTGCATATTTTATACTTGGTAGAGCCACGCGCAATAAGTCAGCTCGACCGGGGAAGGACCACGCTCTCACAGAATACAAGCGTAAAATACCAGCTTAATACTGCTGTGCTTCGTATGGTGAGTGTAGAAATTTTTGAGACCCTTTTTTATTGGAAACGAATCATTCCATCTTAGTCCTCAGGCGTGACAACGCATCTGCGTTTTAAGTCTTAAGCGAGGATAAATGTAGATGTCTATGGTCCACAGCATCCACTTACCATCGATTTACTGTGTGCTCTTGTGTCACGCTTATTCTATAATTTTTTTTAATAACGATATTCAAACCTTATTAGCTTATCACGTTAGTAGTTATTCCTTGTTTTACAAAAGAAGCAATGATGATGATGATCAATTATTCTATTTTGGTTTATTATATTATACAGATTTTAAGTTTAAATAGCATACAGATTTAATACAGATTTTAGCAGTTTCTAATACAGATAAAAGGTTCAAGGCATCTGGCAACACTGCCGCACGGTCACTTCGCTTCGGCTTTTGAACGGGGAGGTTGTGTCGCTTACGATCAGAATATACATTACGCAACAGGACGACGTAAAATTAAAATGGGAAATAACCGTAATAAAAATAAGAAGCGACTGGCTTGGCGTTAAGAAACAAGCATAAATATGATAAACCTAATGAAATAAGTATCTAACGACCTTTTCTACTTACAGTATTAGTGATTACAAACATGTCGTTACATAGCATACGACGCGCGGGCAAGTGGGGACGAAATTAGAATCTGAGCTGACTTACTCTATCCCCTTAAGAATGTTATATACCTTAGACCACTCAAAATGTCAAATCACACCTTTTATTAAAAGTTTAGTATTTTATTATTGTTTTAACTGTTTAACTATAAACTCTGTCATATTTTCTAAGGCAAACATTTTACATCCTAGTGTGATAATAAATCCTGAAAACTTATTTTGCGAGATTAAAACAGAGTAACTATGTATATAAATACTGCTAGATTTTATCATATTTACATTGGTATCATTAACTGTTTAAAATATACATACTCTGATAGATATCTATATATTACTCACACATTTATATTGTAATAAAAAAATAACTGAACTAACCAAACGAAAATATTTTTTGAATAAAACTACTTTAAATGATTTAATTGCGTTTAATTCTGCTTATTTCTAATTCCCGACCGATTTCATTCGTTAACCAGTGAAACTTCCCCTTTTAAGAGTTGAACTACTATGGCAATAAATGAAGTCACATATTAGGATTATATGAGTTATAAATCAACCACTCCACTTTTTGGGTACAAACCGAATAATTGAGTATTGTGGCTTGGTCACCCACAGTAAACTAAATGCAATCAACATGGCTGGGCCTTGGCAAATGGCTGGCCCGAGGCCACTCCGAGTGGGTTTGGCGAACCCACTTCCGATGTGTGTTGGTGAACTACGGCAAGAGAGGTGTCCTCTCCCCACACCGCTGCAGCCGAGGTGGAGTCGCGGAGGATGGGAAGTGTTAGTATGATGAGGCGCCACTCGCCCTATCTTCCGCAACTATGGCGGGGCCGCACAATTGATACGGTGGTAGCGACGCTGTGGGGGGGGGGGGGGGGAGAAGAGTGAATTTATTGTGAGGCACCGCTCTTCCTACTCTCTACAGCCGAATCTCGGCGGCGAAACTATAGACCAGATTCGCCGCTGGGCTTAGGAAGGCTAGTGCTAAGTTGAAGATCGTGGAGATAGGCACACAATGTGTTCTGATGCACCTAACTCCATAGAAGGAGAAGGGGGAGGAGAAGCTCTCTCCCTAGGATGGGCCGCCATGGAGCGGCTGGCGCTGGAGGCGCCGCAGATGTGTGCTAAAGCGTTCCCGTGGTCCTGCCAATATGTAGCGAAAGAGGAACACCATGCGGTTCTGCCCCAGCGAGTCGGGTATGCGCGTAGCATTTCCGCATGAATAAAAAAGCAGCTACACTGACAACAAATTTCACAGTAGGTAAGTACGCCGGCACTAAAAAAATTTAATCTTAAATAATTGCAATTATTAGTGCTGATTTACCGCGTGCTGGGTGGTGAACATCGTTTCGAAACCACCCTGTCTGAAAAATCAAAATAAATAATTTCGAAGACGTGTGAAGTTTGCTACCACCTTAGACCATTAAGGCTACCACACATTGGCACAGCGCGGCGTACACTTTCTTGCCATAATACTCTCTCAGTGTAGAAAATCTGTTCCCAACATTGTAAACTGTAACTTTATTATTTAATTTATTATTTATGCTCGAAAAAACTCAAGAGACCCTCTTGAGTTTTTTAAGCGCTCTCTAATTTATTGGTAGTACATAAGCAAGCAACCCGATTTCGACTCGATCTCTTCCGGCTTCCAGTCTATCAGTCAGTACGCATTGGAATAGCACAACAGAATTTTTTACTTATTTATTACTCCTCCATAACCTACTCACATAATATAGGAGACCTTGCCCACTGGCGAGATGTATATAGTCTGTATTATTACTTACATTAAACCGCACGAGTCATGTTTCCGTCACGCTTTTCCTTATGGCATCGTGAGGACAAAAAGCCTAATATAATAAATATAAATATAATTTTACATGGATATATAAATAATAATATAATTTTACATGGAAGAATTTACTTTTAGCTTTATAAGTAAGATAAATCCTTAATTATCTTATCAGTAGATCTGTTCGCTGATAAATGCAGATGAACGAGAATATCGATAAATTGACGCTGGCCTCGTACTGTTGATTTAAGAACACTGATAAATCACGTTCTACAACATTGAAGATATGAAATGTGATAGATAGCTAAATAAGTTGTTGCTAAGAGAAATGCATATAACCTGTGTAATTTTGTACAGTAAAAAGCCACTCTGCAGCTATATTATAGTTGTAGCACGAATGGGTCGGCTCGACCGGGGGAGGCCCACGCTTTCACAGAATACCAGCGTAGAATAGGAGCTTAATGCTTCTGTATTTCATATGGTAAGTGTAGAGAAACGGATACCCTTTTTACTGTAAACAAGGCATTCCATCTTAGTCCTCAGGGGTAACAATGCATCTGCATTTTATTCTTGATCGATGATAAATGTAAATGTCTATGGACCACAGCATCCACTACTATCAGGTGAACTGTGTGCTCGTTCGTCACCATTATTCTATAATGAGACCTACAAATCTACAATTAAGTATCCAATGGGACATATCTACAGTGAAATAAGCAATTGAAAACGGTTAGGAACGCGAATTAAAATAATTTTGTCTACGCGATAGAGCTACGTTGCAGCTATGCTAGCTATAGTACATTGTTGCAGCACGAATGGGAAGGGTCACGCACACAAGACCGGAATTCCAGTGTGAAGCACCATAATTATGCTGTTGGCTTGGATGGTGAGTGTAAACTGAGAGAGTTCTCGTTACAAGTAAAAAGGATCTCCAATTTTTCCGGCATGGGTACCTACTATCTTAATCCTAAGGGGTGACAAAGCATACGCGTTTTGATTATTAATTAATTATAGATGTAGATGTCTATGAGCCATGTCGCCGTTTTCACCCCTATTCTAGTAAAAGGTCGTGAATTCGAATCCGAAAAAGGACCACTTGTAATCGTCGTAAATCGCTCCCAACACAAGCATTTTAAGATTACTAGGTTTGGTTAACGGCAAAATTAATATATTAAAATAGATTAGGTACCATTTCTTTACTTTTAATAATTGAAAGCCAAAATAATATGACTATCGAGCGTTTATGAATATACTTGAACAAATATA